TAGTTAAGTGTTTTCTATCGGTAATGAGGAACGACCAACGATTCATCGCGACCGTGACGGCTCGCTGATGGATCCAGTAATCATTGAGAAAGATACTGTTTTAAGACTACTTCAGCACCTCAAACCTGATAAGTCCAGTGGTCCCGATGATATTTATCCTAGGATTATGAAAGCCATATCAGGTGAAATCGCTGAACCATTAGCGATACTATTCGACATATCTCTGAGACAGTCCAGACTTCCCAAAGACTGGAAAGACGCCATAATAAATCCGGTGTATAAGGCTGGGAGTCGGGATTTAGTTAGTAACTATAGGCCCATTAGCTTAACTAGTGCAGTTGTAAAAATTATGGAGAAAATCATTCGGATAGCTGTTATAAACTATGTTGAAGGGCAAAATGTTTTCTCCAGGGCACAACATGGTTTTCGGAAAGGCCTATCTTGCTTGACAAATCTTGTCATTGCACGAGAAGATTGGGCTGCTACAAAGGATTGGAATGCTCCTGTGGATGTGATTTTCATAGATCTAAGTGAAGCCTTTGATAAGGTTTCCCACTCTGGTCTTAAATTAAAACTGGAACGTTTTGGAATCCATTATACAGTCGTATATTGGATAAGTAACTTCCTCCATGACAGGAGACAAAAAGTAAGGGTTAATGGGGCTCTCTCTTCGTGGGTACCTGTAAAAAATGGAGTTCCCCAAGGTCCTCTTCTTTTTTACTTTATGTAAATAAACTACCAACTGTAGCGAAATCATCCGTTCTACTCTCCTCTGATGACATAAAAGTTTGGAGACTCATACATAGTATGTCGGATAGAATAGTATTACAGGATGATCTTAGCTCATTGGTGGCATGGTTAGACAGGTAGTCACTAGAAGCAAATCCTAATAAGAGTGTAGTAATGCAGTTAAATAACTCTGATGAATCGTATGACTATACACTACGTGGATTCGTGCTACACAAAGAAAGAAACTATAAAGATTGAGGAGTCATATTAAGCAGTGATCTCAAAACCACTAGTCACTGTAAGGCTGCTGCTGTGAAAGGCTATGGGGTATTATGGTTTATTCGTAGGTTTTTCCAGTATTTAGATGATGAAATGTTTAGATTACTATACCCGATTTATGTGCGACCACATTTAGAATATGGGATTCAAGCAGTGAGTCCTTGTTTCAAGTATGAAGCAGAGATGCTGGGAAGAGTCCGACGACGAGGTACTAAGATGGTACAAGGTCTATCTGACCTATCTTATGAAGACAGACTGAGACACCTTAACTTATTTCCCATATCTTACCGTAGATTACGGGGTGATCTAATATTGAATTATCGTATACTGAACGATGACCTTGGTATTAACATGTCTTATCTTTTACTTCTATCTAGGACTGATCATTTGAGAGGACATTCGAAGAAAGCTCAAAGACCGAGATCAAACCGTTTACGTCTGGAGTTCCGTTTCTCGCACCGAGTAGTGAATTACTGGAATTCTCTACCGGAACACGTTATATCAGCACCATCTGTTAATATATTCAAAACGAGGTTGGACCTCCACAGTATTACAAACTGCAAGGATTAATATAGGTCGATAGACCTCCTATCCTTATTACTGAAGACTGAAGACTTGTCGTATCGTAGGACACGAGATGACCTTATACTGGCATTTCGTATCTTTAATTATGATTTGGGTGTTAATATGTCTTATCTTTTTGCTCCCTCCAGCACTAATAATCTCCGAGGTCATAGCAAAAAGGTTCATAAACCACGATCTAATAAACTTAAAGTGGGATCCCGTTTTTCTCATCGAGTAGTCAATCATTGGAACGCCTTACCCGAACAAGTGGTATCAGCCCCATCAGTGAATACTTTCAAAGAAAAGCTGGACCTTCACTGGAAAGCAATGTGTCAGGATTAACACAGGTTCATCAACTTACTATCCTTATTACTGAAGACTGAAGACTGAAGATTATGGAGTCACATGGATGAGTTCCTGCATCGTACGCATTACGATTTCAGAACTGCAGAGCCTCTATCTGACGCTGAAAAGTTTTTAAACCATGTTAAAGAATATTATTCCGTCTAATATTTTTAATTGAATTTAATTATTTTTACTTTATATGGACTGCTTTCTAGTCGACTGAAATTTCTCAAGGTCACACACGATTTGCTCAGAGGCGTAAGGTAACAGATCGTGCATTTTGGCTCAAAATTCATTCAATTGTTGGGTTAATATACCATTTTGGCACTATAAATGATGTAAGATTGTTCTGAAAACATTAAATTTAATTCATAATTCCTAACATTTAGATGCAAATCCTTATTCCTTACACTAATATATAGCGCTCAATTTACCTTGATAGATAAGTGGACGTTCCGAGGTCATTTTAGTATTTCTCAAAGGCCGTCCATAAATTGTATCTTCACATAAAGATCATTTTATGAGTAAAAATGGACAGTTATGCTAAAATACACTCCACTTATTGGTTTATAAGTGTAATAACGATAAAACGAGTGATGGAAAATGATATGAGAAAATACCATTGTCTGCTCTGCTTCTTGTGTTTCTCATTTCCTCCCCTTCTTTAGTACTATCAATATAAATCACAGAGAACAGGTATATGGAAAATATGACTTCGTCCCAACCTTGGGATGAAACCCCCAATATTTCAAAAGGATTTAATGTCGTATTGACCATGTCTGTCTCACAATGAAAATATACAACGTTATGTTTTAAATTCAACATTTTTAACCGGCGGATCATGCTCTAACCACATAAGATCGTGTTATGAACAGCTTTAAGCTTTATTTTCCGGTTCACAAGTTGTTCATCGCAGCACAGCGTCCATGAAGTCCGTCGACTTTTTCACTGGAAATTCAGGTTTTGAAAAAAGCAAGAACAAAAATTCTAGCAGAATAGCATGAATTCATTTTATTTCGTAGGTTCTCGTCAGCTGCTTACAACCTGTGATATTTAAAAATCATAATTACATAATGGGTTTCAATTGCTTACTGTATATTGTAAATATATACCTAATGTGAAGGAATATTCTACAACATTAATTTTGACAACGGTTCAAAAGTGGGTTACAAACAATTAATTACATAATGAATAAACATTGATGGGAATATAGTGAATAGAGTTCAGTCGAAAGATTATTAATTTGAAAGATAGTTGAAAAAATAAAATCAATGATGTAATAAATACAAAAGAAAGGAGGAAAATTTTTTATGGTGCAGCGAAAGAATATTTGTCATCAAGACAAGGAAAGATTAACAACCGTCTCCTTATGAATACATAGTTCAGGTTTTTGACGCCTGATGGCAACGGCTTCAGCAAGCTTCAGAAGACTGGAGTTTGGTTGCCTAGTAATCACCCTAAAGGGTTGTGAGGTGTCTACCTGATGTCCTGTATCAAGGAGATGTTTGGTGATTGCCTTAGAACAAGGGGAAGAAAGTTTCTGAATAGTGAGTTAGCTAATAGCCCAGGTTAAAAAAGAAGCACACTAAATCTGAGTGTCGGTGGAATAAATAAACTTGTAAACGACATCAAAGCACTGAATAGACTAACAAACAAAAACGTTCTGTTAGAAGAACATCGATGATACTAATACCGTGTCGTTTTTCCTGCTTTTTCTTGAGACCACAAACATAACACCACCACCACTGAAAATAAACTTAACGCCGATTAGTAATTTTGCTGGTCCACTTTGCAGCCAATCAGAATGAGGTGAGAATTATCATCTTTGTCATCTTTGTAAGCACTGGAGGTTCGTTTGTTTTATTCCTTGGATGACGGTAGTATATCCAGTGGGTTCGTGAGACTCAGGCACCTGACAAACTAGGACCACGTCGGAGATGCAATCAATCTCTTGTAGAAAGCTCATCATTGAAAACAGATCGCATATAATTATTAGATGACTTGGACGTATGACGTCCAATCTAAAAGACGAAAAGTCGGAGATCTGCAACAGAATGTTATGTGGGTGCGTTGTTTTGGCCATTAAAGGAAGCCGGATGGCCATGGTTAGAGAGTGAAAGGGTAAATAGCTAATGTTATGCTCACTTCCGTATAGATCAACGTTTGTCGATTGCCAAGCCATGTTTTGCGTGTGGTACGATGTCATTCGATAAATAATAGCTTCATCTAAGATGGAGCAGAACTACCCTTGCAATAAAAGCATCCGATAGAAGTCTTGGTTGTCAGTTGTTAGTTGTCAAAGTTTATCTACTTTCAGCATTGCTCTTATTCTGGAAGTCTTCCTATAATGAAAAAAAACAAGCAGCTTGCAGTTACTGTAATGTGTGAATGTCTAGAGATTTCAGCTTTCCTCTGTTCGAATCACTTTGGTATAACGTTCATGAAGTTTAAGAGGGTGCTATTAAACGCAACTCAATTTCGTAAATGTTGTATTCGGCTTAGCAACCAATCAGAATGAGGCGGGAATTATTATATCCACCATCTGTATAAGCAATGGCGTTCGGCTTTCTTCGCTCTGTGCTTTTTTCAGCTATTTCATTTGTGTAGCTATGTAATTTAATGTTTTAGTGTGCTAAAATGCCGCAGTTAGTGTAATGTTTCATATGTTGGTGTGAAATTTATTTCGAGTCAGCATGTTTTTTCTGGGTTTTTGCTGCTTCTCAAGTCAGTTTATTTTTTCAGGCAGTCTGGCTAGTCTTGTGTTATAAAATGTTAATGCGTTTTTTTGAGATATCGGGAGAGAAGATTAGTTTTGTTAGCTTAAATAAGTGTTGCGGCTGTATGGAACTCGAACTGTCGGCATAATCGTTCCTAACTGTCAGGCAAGCTCGTTATTCTTATGTCATGAAATCTTAATGCGTTATATTTTGAGCATTGTTTTTTAAGTGTGGAGAACCGAAGTCAGTTTTTTAGCTAAAATAAATGTTGCTGCCGCATGTGACCGTAACTGGCCGCATATTCGTTCCTAATTGTTATTTATTGTTATCAGGCAGAATGAAATATTTGTTATTTTCTGCAGTATTATGGATCACGCTACCCCATCAACCAGTCAAACTAATACTGAGTGTCCATTGGCTGTGTATACCGGTGATGTCTTCGAAAGGATTATGAGACCCAGGCAGCTGACAAGCTGGGAGCAAGTCAGAGAAGCTGTCGATCTGTTGCAAAAGGTTTGTTATTGATAATACACCATCTAAAAAGTAATAGATGACTTGGACACATTATGTAGTACGTGAAAGCAGGCTGAACAAAGAAAAGCCAGAAATTCGCTACGAGTATGTAGTGTATGTATGTTCTTTTGGTCATAAAAAGAAGCCGGAGGGCCGTGGTGAGAGAGTAAAAGGGTAAATGATTATTATTATTGTTTTCAATTTTCATAGATCAAAGTTTAGTGGTTGCAAGGCTATGTTTCGTTTACGGTATGATGTGAACCGGTTCGTCATATCGTCGTCGAGGATGATGCATAACCATCCTTGTGATGAAAAGTGTTTGAAAAGTGATCCGTGGTTCCGAAGATTAAATGAAGATCAGTTGAAGGTTGTTCGGCCGATGGTTGAGACTGGGAGTAATGCAAATTCAATAGTTAAGTATGCCAAAGACCACTTTGGAAAGACAATAACGGTGCCATATGTTAATAATTTAAAATATAAAGTTGCCGAACGTAAGCTTATCCCATATATCTACGGTATTTTAGGCTGTGGAAGCTTAAACGACGTAATTGCAACGTTACGGAACAGTGGAAAAGTATTCGTTTCTTATGGGGGCGTGGCTAACCAGGTTATAAAGATAGCATTTAGCACGCACGAGCAAATTGAAACGTACAAACGGTTCCCTGAAGTTGTGTGTTTGGATTCAACATACAAGACGAACAGGGGAAAGTAATTAAAATTTTCCTGCGTACTAATTGTCTTTAGTTATAAACTCTTTCAGCTGGTTTGTACAGATGACTGCGGACATGGAGTCCCAGTTATGTTTGCTTGGACCAAGGAAGAGAAGGTTGATATGGTATGGATACTGGATCATTTTAAAAAGATCATGAATGGAACCAGTCAAACGGAAACGTTTGTGATGGACTGTGCAAGATCCATCATATCCGCTGTTGAATTAACGCACCGTACTGCCCACATAGCTTTATGCTCTTTCCACGTGTGTAGAGCTATTTGTAAGAAGACCCGCGATCCAATAATCAAGCAGTACTTATGTCAACTGGTGCGCGAACAAACAGTAGTTAAGTTTCACCAGATACGTCGAATAATCAGTGTTCGCAGCAGACGCATCGCAACTTATTTAAACAAGAACTGGATGAGTAGGAAAGGAACTTGGGCCGCAGCTTTCAACGGCAATGTCGTTACATTGGGTAACAACAGCAACCACCGGGTTGAAAGTGCGCACAGACAACTGAAGAGGAAGTTGTCTAATGGAGACGCGTTGAGTAAATGTATGTGGAAGACATTTACATGGCAGAAGCAATTAGGCAAACGTAGGTCACTACAGTCCAGCTTACACTGTAGTCGCAAAAGTAGATACGTAGCTGAAGACCGCTTAATGCCTCTACTAAGCAAGCTAACCACCTATGCTGGCTCTATAGTCCTTAAAGACTATAAAAAAAGGGGACTGATGTACATCAAGAATAACCAGTCACCCTTTGTGTTCTTCGTAGACGGCCCTCTGTGTCCGGTAGTGCATATAAGCAACGGCACTTGCACTTGCCGTTTATTTAAAACATGTCGAATTCCATGTAAGCACATGGTTTTTACTCATCTACAAATGCCAGAGTTCACAGGTATGTTATGTTCATTTTTGTATCATGAAGTAGTTGATTTAGTTTTGAAGCTGTGTTGCAGATGGACTTGGACAGCCTGTGGAGATGCGGATGTAAATATACCAGCTATTTCGTCTCCAGATTATACTGAAACGAGCAGGCTGTATCGCATTCTACGCAGTAAAATCCATACACTCAGTACACTTTTCGGGCAGACGACGATGCAGGACATACTAAGGCAATTGATAGATCAAGTTGATGAATTAATACGCATGAGGCGTTTGCCTACAGATTCCGATCATAGTAAGTCCACTGGTTCTTTGGAAATCAAAATCTAAGTATTTATAAATGCATCTATTAAGCTAATACTCGTACTCTCTATTTCAGATACTCAATAAACACAAATCGCGTCATGTGCGTTGCCAGATTTTGTTAATACCTAATTAAATAAAAGTCTTATATTCACTAAATACAGAGTTTCTTGCTATGTTTGGTATAAGGGGTGAAAACATTGAATGGGCCTGTAGTTGTGTTTTGGCAGGCGCGTAACCTCACGTTACTAGTGATCCGTAAGTGTACCTAAGGTATTGATTGCAAATCCGACGGCATCACGGTAAACAGCTATGGCTTAAACGTGTACCTGTCAACATACTAGTGCAGCACGTCATGGCGGCTGAAATAGGTTATAGGAGGGCCCTGAATTCGGGGTTTCCCACTGCTTGCTTATCATATGGTATTTGAATAAGAAACTAAGATTAGAGACAGGGACGGTTGGGATATGTAACGCGTGTCCATCCATCAACTGCTGTGACTTAAATTTACTACACACCAACTAGGTGCTCAGAGGCTCGCGTTTCACAAGTTTCTTATAACGGTTAACTAGATAAAACGAAATAGCATCAGGTTTACAAATTTATTCAGGAACTTTAATGAACAATGAAATATGAAACAAAGATTTACATCACGTTACGAACTACAATGTCGCGTTGGTAATGTTAATCTGCTGTATTTGTTGTTTCTTTTTTCAAACGAAAGGGTATAAGAAGTAGCTCCAAAACACTGGAAGTGGATGTCCGGCATGATTTTAGTAATCTGATGTTAGGTGGGTCTCCCATAAAGTTTCATAGGGCCATAGTTCTAAAGGTGAAACACTGTAACATCTGTGACGGCTCACTCCTGTTACGTTCTAAATAAAAGATAGTAATGGATTTAGTGAAGAATGTTGAAAAGGTGAATAAACACATTAGATGTTTCTAAGGAGAGAATTTATGCAGCTGTGACTTACCTCGACTTCATGAATATCAGATCACGCAAGCTAATACAACTTGTGCAAAGCACAGCTTTTATTATTTTGCTCCCATTTAAGTATTCCCATGCATCTGCGTCTGCTTTTACAGGAAGATACGAGTTGATTTAGTGTCTGGTAAACTAAAAGTCCCAGTTGTCAGAAACACTCTTAACATTTGTCCACAGCCAGCAGCTCTTAATTAAGACAACACTCCTCATTTAAGACTGTATACTCCTGTTTTGCAGGCAAATAAAAGCTCAGACACTTAGCTATCGTGCTACTGATGTTATTGCTGGGGAAATTGTTTAATGACAGAGGTCTTGAAACATGGACAGTGTTAGACGTGCTGTCTACAAATAAACACCAAACGTACTTAAAGCTATCTTATAATATATGACAGCAACAGTACCAAAGGCACTTTTTTCCTATTTTTAATCAGATTGATTTCAATCACTATACTCATTAAAAACAGACAGTTGTACTTACTAAACTGATCCGTTTCGTTACATGCTTTAAACACTACACTATAATTCTATAGGCTAATCTAAATTAGAAGGCAACCAAGAATACTAAACTAAGCAAGTGTCATAATTATTGTTCCATTTGCACAGACATGTTACTAAACGGAGTTAAATGAACATAATCAAGCCGATAAAACCAAAACACGAAATATAGGCTAGTCCAACTTACCGAAGAGAAGACAAAGGAGATATATATATATTGCTTTAAAGCAATTGAGACTGAACCCAGGTTCCCAACTTTGGGGAAAATTGAGTCCATTTTGGGGAAATTTTGGGGAAGCCGCTATAATAAATTTTGGGGAAATGAGAAAAAAACCCAAAATTTCCCCAGACCTGGGTAACTTTGGGGAAATTTTGGGTGACTTTGGTGTATTTTGGGGAAATCCCCAAAGTTAACTGAAGTTATTGTTAATACAACTGACTACTGAATTCTTGTAAGTAGTATAAAACAATATACAAAAGAACAAACAAACTATGGTGACGTTTGTAAAAGCCTGCGAAGCCGGGTGAAAGGGGAACGGACTCGATAGTTATATCATTTTGAGGAAGCTTCCCCAAAGCTTTGGGTTTTCCTGGAAAACTGTTTTGACGCAAAAGCTTCTCGAAATCATATCGACATCACGGAAGACCTAGGAGAATGCTTACATACATTTCTTACTGCGATGTTTTATTACTTTTCGTCAATCGCGCATTGCTAATGGAACCTAATGTTAACCGATTTGTCGCGATTATGAAAAGACTGATTTATGAAATATATAAATGTTTATTACAGTTAATGAAATTACAAATGAATCATTTATACAAAGTTTTTCATTGCGTTGTAACAGCAACACCTTACGTAGACGTAGAACTGTCATTGATAATGTTCTAAAAAATAAATAAATCATTTTTAGTGTATAATAACGTGTCAAGATATGTGAAAGTTTGGTGATGTACCAACAGTATAACAATGTTCTTAATAATGCGAACAAAGAACTTACAGTAACATCTGATAAAGCCTGCGAAGCCAGCTGAAAGGGAAACATACAAGAGACAAGTTATATCACTTTGAGTATTGATCACAAAGTAATAAGCTGTTACAGTAATTACAGTACGGTTATTTAGTGATAAATGCAATGATAATTAACATCCTGTGAATTTTGGGGAAAACCCCAAAGTGAACTTCAGTTATTGGGAATACAAGTGAATACTGAATTTTATTAAGTGGTATTAAACAATATACAAAAGAGTAGGAAGGGGAACGAGTAGGAACAATGTGTGACAAAGTTAACATATGTATTATAACAAACAAATTAAGTAGTTTTAGCTCACCCTTTCTTTGGATCGCCATCCACGTTTATGTACTTTATCTCTTGCGTCATGCAAGAAGGCCTGGCTTGCTGTAGCCATGGCGTGCGTGATCTCCGTTTCCGAACAGGTCGCACTCCGGAAGTGTGAACACAAAGCACCTACAAATATGTTGATACAGTAAAGTGGACTTACTTTGAACCGTCGAGTAAAATTTGTACTTACTAATACCAAATTTACTTCTGGTTCCGTGCAAAGTGTAAGTGTTCGCGAGTTCCGGCGACAGGAGGTATTGAAGACAACCTTTAGCTGATTTCCGAGTATTGTCACACATTAGGTTGCATAATCTTGCCACCTAAAATTTATCCAAACACCTTTTACAACTTACGAAATGATCTCGGTATTTTTGGTATTCTAAAGCTGCCTCTAAAGAACGCAACTCCTCATGCGTTCTTAATGTGAAATGTATAGCATAACTATCCATTTCCTCTGTACGCCTGTCGATTACACCCATGGCTAAGCGTTCGCATACAGCGATCAGTCTGTCCATCTTGCTAGATAGTTCAGTTACCGCTTTTAGGATAGTTCTGAACATGTGATGTATATCACCGCTCAAACTTTTGTTATCAGGAATAAAGTAAATGCAACTTACGGTTTATCACCTTCAGTCGACGTACGTAGAATTGGTGGTGATGAAAAGTCAGCTTTCGATGAACTGATATATGAGTATTGATAAAGTAGGTACAAACCTCGCAATCGGAGAAAAGGTTCCTGTTGAAATGTTGACAACTGGAAATTCCACCGGGGCAAATCCAGCCTCAACCTCAGCAATCTCTAGTTCTTCCGAGGTGCATAGATAATCATTAAGCTTTCGTTTGACAGTTCTAACACAAATGATATAAGAAGTTGAACAATTTTCCAGAACTTCCAACGTCCGTCCGAAGTGTTCTACGTCGATGCAACGACGTGGAGCCTAAGATCCTAGATTCTGGAACGTATTACCATTTAGGATTGAAATCCAGTATTTTGAGAATTTCAGGACATTGGCTTCGTCGAATCCGTTTCAACGAATTGCAGTTGCAGTTAAACTACGATGGCCTAAGTTTGTTCAAAAGCTCTAACCAACAGCTGTGGCCGATCCTAGGTCGCATAGTAGCTCCACTAGTTAGTAGTGTTTTCGTAGTTGGGATCTACGGTGGTGAAGTAAAACCATTTGATTTCAACGACATGTCAGCAACACTTATAACAGAGTTACACGAGTTGCTGACAGTAGGTATTAATGTAGATAAGTATCACCTACATCTAACAGTTAAATTAGTTGCTGTTATTTGTGACGCTCCAGCTCGCAGCAACGTCAAGTACATTGTGGGACACAATGGTATCGCTGGCTGTAACAAATGTCAGGTTTTAGGGACGCAAATGGGTGGTCGAATGACTTTCCCCAATGGTGAACACGACTTAAGAAATGATTTCACTTTTCGTAGTAGGTCCCAATCTATCCATCATCGTGGTACAAGTTCATTTGAAAATCTGCCAGTGGATATGATTAAATGTTTCCCCTGTGAACCCATGCATATGATATACCTAGGTGTTACCAAAAAACTTGTTTCATTATGGAAGGAGCTAGCTATTAAGCGACTTAATGGGATGGATCATTCAATCATCGCTTCAATAAACGATGCACTAGACTTATGTAGACGATGAAACGCAGCTTTGTGACGCTGAAAAACCAAAAAGGTTAATTGTTCAACTTATTATATCATTTGTGTTAGAACTGTCAAACGAAAGCTTAATGATTATCTATGCACCTCGGAAGAACTAGAGATTGCTGAGGTTGAGGCTGGATTTGCCCCGGTGGAATTTCCAGTTGTCAACATTTCAACAGGAACCTTTTCTCCGATTGCGAGGTTTGTACCTACTTTATCAATACTCATATATCAGTTCATCGAAAGCTGACTTTTCATCACCACCAATTCTACGTACGTCGACTGAAGGTGATAAACCGTAAGTTGCATTTACTTTATTCCTGATAACAAAAGTTTGAGCGGTGATATACATCACATGTTCAGAACTATCCTAAAAGCGGTAACTGAACTATCTAGCAAGATGGACAGACTGATCGCTGTATGCGAACGCTTAGCCATGGGTGTAATCGACAGGCGTACAGAGGAAATGGATAGTGATGCTATACATTTCACATTAAGAACGCATGAGGAGTTGCGTTCTTTAGAGGCAGCTTTAGAATACCAAAAATACCGAGATCATTTCGTAAGTTGTAAAAGGTGTTTGGATAAATTTTAGG